TTTGCTAAACATCTGAAAGAAACTTTTACACCAAACAACCATGTTAAATAGTGTTTCTGGCATAATTCAAAGTGATCAGCAGAGTAATATACCATGTGTGCTATGACCTAATTGATGGAGAAACATTGAAATATCTACCAAAACGGGCGATTACAAAACTATTACACATAATTATTGCTGCTTTTAAACAGAAATACTTCCCTAGTATACAGGATGTCCCACGTAAGCAACAAAGAATATAAATGTCATTGAGGAGCCGAGATACGCAGTTCTTCCTTAGACAAAAGTTGTAGGAAATTTAGCACACTATAAACGGAATATATTTTTATACATACAGGGTGTCTCAGCGATTATACACTAGGTTAATATCGATATGATATGTGAGCATTTTTCAAAAAACCCTAATTATTTCTCAAACTATTAATGTTAGGCATAGGACATATGGAATATAAAAGATGTAAAATGAGACGCCGAAGACGACTAAGTAATAAAATATGGGGGGTGCCATTTAAAAAAATTAAGTTATGGTACTTCCAAATTTCGAAAAGTTAACGTGCCATAGTAAAGTGACCAAACGATCTAGACAGCCGTTCTCGGCACCAAAACATACTCCATCATGTTGTTTAAGCATGTTCTGAATCCTAAATTGATATCTCAAAAATTGAGTGTTCTATGATTTTTTTAACAAATGTCCGCTGGAGCAGATTTTTCTAGAAAAAATCAAATATCTCGAGAATGGCCGAATCAAATTGCAAAAAGGAAAGTTATTTATAAACCTTCAAAACAGACAAATCCAAATATGTAAAAATATACAGGGCGTTCTATTTAAAAAAATAAAGTAGGTGGCGACTTCCGGTATAACCGGAAGTGCTAGAAATCTGAAAATATTTTAGATGAAGAGAACGTAATTGATAATACTAAAGTTTACATTCTCAAATTTTTTGTTTTTCCAGTACCCCAGAAACGTCTAATGACCGGTCTCGCTGAGACACTCTGTATAGGGTGTTCCATAACGACGTACTGAAATAAACATATGTTATTTTAAATAGAATGATATAGTTTTTACTGCGTATTCTGATTTTATACACAAAACTAAGTTGACTTTGATAAGACATGTTGGTACCTAGTGCTTTTAGTTTTTGAATTATTTTAATTAGAAGTTTTCTTTAGCAATTAACACTATGCAAATTTGAATTTATTGACGACTGATCGAGCTAGAAAGTTAAAATTTGTAACAATTGCTGCTTGAATATCCTTAAATCGTCATTGGCTACATCGGTCTATCTTATACAGGATGTTCAAAAATGTAACTACTGTTTTACCATATTCAATTGCAAAAAAGTCGAAAATTTTAAAAGAAACACCCCATATTTGATTAGCTTATCAGATAGAGAATTTAATTCTCCACAATTCTATTTAATTCTTCAGTATATGTCCCTATACCTATCTGTTGCAGTTGTTGAGATAGAGCAGAATGAATCAAAATCATGCAAAGAATACAACAGAGTTACTAAAGCAAGCCTTCAAAGAAAATGTACGCATCATTTTCTTTGAAGGATTATGAAAAGTGGACACCGATCCCAAAATTGCCCCTACAGACGAAATGCATAAAACCTTCGCTTCTCCAAAGATAAAGATGTCAAACATCAGGATACGGAGCAAAGTTCGAAAGCTAGAACGGCCATTGAAAATACAGTTGGAACACAACATAAACTAGGCGACAAACCAACCTGTCCGTATTGCATGGATGGATTGGATGGTGTACATCGCATGAAGGATTGTCCACTAATGTGTTGTACGAAATGCAAAGTAAAGGGTCACCTAGCAAGAGAGTGCAAGATAGAGCGAAAATCTACGATGATCGTAGAAAGCAAAACGAATAACATGATGATATCGTTAACAATTAATGGTACCGTCCAACAAGCACTAGCAGACACAGGTTCTTCAGTTAATTTGATATCCGAAACCAAAGTACATGAGCTGGATACTCTATCCGGATTAAATGGTGTCAAAACATAGGTCTTGCAAAATGGACTAAAAAGGAATAAAGGAAAATATGTTCAAAACAAAATTCTTTGTAGTTCAGGACTCTGCTATACCAGTACCTATCATCGTCGGAACAGATTTTTTTCGTCAACCATCTGTAGTACTTCGAATAGAAAAGGGAATTGCCAAGATAGAGAAAATGGATACACTTCGAGGGACATCAACGAGGCCATCAGCAGCGAAAGCAGAAAGAGGACACGATAAGTACAAAAGCACTTGGATTTATCTGTCTTCCCTATGTTTCAGGTGTAACGGAACGAATTGCTAGATACCTCAAGAAGAACGACATCGTAGTGCGGACAAACTAACTCCATTAAAAAAAGCGGGAGTCTACCGACTATCGTGTAGTTGTGGAAAGGTTTATGTTGACCAAACAGGACGCAGCGTCAAGTGCCGCATCAAGGAGCATGAGAGGGATGTAAGGCTAAAGAAGATCGAGCAGTCGGCGGTTGCGGAACATTGTCATGCAGAGTGACAAGAGAAGCCATAGAGATCCACCGACATAAAAATAACGTCAACAGAGAGGATGGCTGGGAGCTTAGCAGAACATGAAAGATGGTGGTGAACACGAAGACATCTTCCCGCCTTACACCGGACGCGACGCAATTAGTTAATAATTAGCTTGTAATTAGTGTTAACTGATTATTAATTAGTTTTTCCGACTTATATACAGTTACCGATTTTTTGATCTCGTCACTTTGAACCAGTTTCTGAAGAAGGTTGCAACATGGCATCGCAAAACCCGAAAGTTTCTAGGGTTAGTTCTAGTTTTAGTTCTAATTTTAGTTTAACACCATCCTGTTTTGTTTTTTTTTTGTCTATAATATGTTCATACGCAAAGAGAAACATTGGAAAGAAATATAGATTCTCACAACTACAGTACACGATATGGAAACAATTTACTGGCACCCTTACACAGAGTACAGAAGTCACAAAATACTTTCAAATATATTTCAATAAAACTATATACAGTGTGTCCCAGGATAGATGTTACAACAGCTATAATGACTTAAAAATTTTATTTTAAGGCTGAGGAATTAAGTCCTGCTTGGTGTGGAGAGAATTTTAAGTATATTTTCATATATTGAAAATCAACAATTAATAGTGAAGCGAAGACTATTTTTAGTTCAGGTAAAGTAACATTTTTGTTCATGATACTAAAAAATCTTTTAAGAAAAGTTGTTCAAAATGTGAAATATGATATGGTCCTATACAAAATTTCAGAAGGATCTATCTACTTTGGCTAAAACCATCACATTTTAGTTTAAATAACATAAATATTGTATAATTTTATTTTATTCAACATAACATCCACCTTTTGTTGCACTCTTTTCTATACGATGCCTAAATTCTCTAAAGCTGTTCTGAATTTCTTTGATGCGTATTTGTCGTATAGCATTTGTTATCCGTTCTTTTAATATTTTTCGATTATTCGGTATTGGTTGAGCGAAAACTCGTTGTTTAAGGCGACCCCATGAAAGAAATCTAATATTGTAAGGTCTGGAGACCTTCGAGGCCACGCAATTGTACCATTTCTAGATATAATCTTTTCTCGAAATATTAAATTTAACCATTCTAAAAAAAATTCTTATCTAAAATATAATGGTTTAATCAATGTAGATAGATCTTTCTGAAATTTTGCATAGTGCCATAATTGCTCATTTTGAACAACTTTTCTGAATGATATTTTGCTGTATCAGGAACAAAAAGCTTACTTTACCTGAACTAAAAATAGTTTTCGCTTCATTATCAAGGCCGAGTTGATTTTCAAAATATGAAAATATACTTAAAATTCTCTCCACACCAAGCAGGGCTTAATTCCTCAGCCTTAAAATAAAATTCAAAATTTTTTAAGTCATTATACCTCTTGTAACATCTATTCTGGGACACACTGTATAATACTCTACCATCAAGAACAAAACAATTAGACGAGAAGAAATTTAAAGCAAAAGTGAAGAAACACCTAATAGAAAGTGAAATTTATTCAATTCAAGAATACTATGGAAGTAAGATGCCAGGTATTACCTAGCAGAGGGAGAGGAACTTGAAATCAATTTCATGTATTTCTTTTCTGTTTTTCTTCTTTTTTATTGACGAATTGAATGTACCATGTTTTGTATATTTAAGAAATAAACTATTATTATTATTATTAATAAGGGATTATCGATTAAAAGGTTTATTGAAATTTTGAATTTTTTCCATTGAAACTTTATTTAGTTTTTTGAATCTGAAGTTTTGGTCAAATGAGTCGAAGAATTTACATTTTTTCACTTTGTCATCAAATTTAAAGTGAAAACGACAAGGATATTAAAAGGAATAAAATAAAGCCAAATATTAGTTAACATTTTTGTATTTACATAGAACAGAATAGTACTAATAAATGATATTTCTATAAGACTCAGTACATTCTTATTGACTAGAACTATGATATTACCGGCCCTTTTGTGTGAAATAAAAAAAAACATTACAAAAAGGCTTCGCTCTTAGGTGACTACTAAATTTATGTAGAACTGGCCATTTATTATTAAAGTTAAACGGTGGTTTGTTTCGTCCCCTTCGATTTTAAAAAAAAAGGAATGTCAAAGGTCGTTTCAAATGCTTCTTTACAAAACAGAATCGGAAACAACAATGAATAACGATGACGGTAAACAATAATCGTACCGAAGAACAAAAAAAAATCGAACATATTACCAAATAAATAATAATAATAATTAATAAATTTTGTACAAAACGACTAAGTTTTTGTTTGTCTAAATTTTTTTTTTGAATTTTTTTTTATTTCTGGTTACACTTTTAAATAAATAAATAGAAATAGAAATCATTAAACGGCGCGAACCAACAGCGTGACTAATTCCTGAGGCCGCCCAAAAAAAAATCCTAAGCCTTCTCTTTGGTGATTTTTTCATCTTTTATCTTCTTCATTTCATTTTCCTTAATTTTAAATTAACTTGTCAAGAGTTTCTTTTTTTTTTATTTAAGTTATTATACGTCACATCGCCAAAACAAATAAATTATTAAATTAACTTTCACGTTTTGGGGCGCGAGATTCAGTCTTCATTTTCCTTAATTAAAAAGAACAAAAACGATATTTAACGCCGAGGAAGTAGACACTAAATAATGGAAGCACAAAAGTCTCCATTTCTTTAATTTTCACTTCAAGATTTATATGTACGGATAACGTCTCTTATAACAGCCCTACACAACGGACAATGTCCACCTCCTTTACCCCGCCATTGTTGTAACGCGCACTCATAACACATACACATGTGACCACACATGTATAAAACAGCGTCTATTGAATTTTCATAACAAATTGTACATTCCGCTCCAGCTCCGTAAGCTATACTTGTCCCTTCAACCCAAGTTTGTGTTGGACTATACGGGGTTGATGAAATCGTTACAGGCTATAACAAAAAATTTTAAAATTAATTATTTGATTTTATGATTTTTTTTTAAATAATTAATTACCTCAATGTATGTACTACTACAATTTGACATCATAGTTCCTGTTGGTATCGCTGGTGTTGCAGAAGAAGTTGGACCAGGAACTAAAGCCATCATAGATGGTACTGGAGAAATTGGAACGATATGTTGACTACTACCATGTTGGCTACCACCACCACTATGTTGGTTACCACCATGTTGACTCACACCATGTTGGCTACCACCATGTTGACTCCCATGGGGTTGTTGTTGATTTTGGAAATGACTAGAAGCGAGTTGACCTTGAATAGCTCCGGTGGATCCTTGATGACTCGAATTTGGCCGTAAAGTAACCGTAAACCCATTAACACTATGTACTTGTAATTCCCCAGTTTGTGGAACACAACAAATTCGATTTTGCGAGTTTTGAACCATCGAGCTACGTCTCAATTCCGATTGAGAATTGATGCTGTTCATACTTTCTGAATTCGCGGGTGTGATGAGACGATTTTCTGGATTTCTTGTAGGTGTTGTTATGTTGGTGGAGGATAAAACCCGAATTTTTCGGGTTGATCCATAAACATCGAAGAACGCCCAAAGTTTTAAAGTTTGATCGACGTGGATGATCACGCATGGTGACGCCCCATTTCTACGAATTTGTACTTCACCATTAACGGAAATAAAAAAACTAATTTCGTCCCCTACGTTTAAACTCCGCGCGAAATCCCGGCTGATAACCCAATATTCCGGGCGGTCCAAAAGGAAGTTAGCATCGTCTGGTAAATCCGCTGGTTGTAACGTCGATGGGTCACAAGATGTTAACCCTAAACTTAAACAACCTTGAAACATAGGTTCGGTTGCTAAGATTTGAACAACAACTCTTTCACCAATTTGTAAAGGTCGCCCGGTGAAAACGTAGCCTTGACAAAACTCGGAGTCAACTCTCGATGCAACACTTCGACTTGAATTAAATCTAACGTTTTTTCCTTTCGTACGGTGTAAAGCCAAAGGTTGGTAATTAATTTGAGATGGTTGGTGACGCAAAGCTGGGTAACTAACTTCTTCATTTTCCCTTTGATGTATACTAACAGCACTCATCGGGTAAATAATCCTTTCAACTTCATCGTTTTCATAACTTGAAGACAACTCGTTTCTTCTAGAATTATTTAATTGATGTCGTATATCAACAAATTCAATCGCCGTTGAATTTCCATATACGTCGATTAAAGCCCATAAAGGACCTCGAGTTTCCACACCACTAAAAAACACCCCTTTTTCTTCGCCATTAATCCCAAAATGAACCTCCCCCGTCGATGTCACGTAATAAAAAAGAACCGTAGTTTGACTACAAAATCTTTCTGGTAAAGCTTTCGCCCAATATCCTGGTTTATTTGTTAAATCTGGACATGCATATTTCGGTAAACCATATCGCAGCGTACTCGGGTCATTGTAAGTAAACCCTAAACGAATCACACCACTCCAATTATTTGAAATCTCTAGGAACTTTATGCATATCTTTTCGTTTACTTTTACAGGGCGCGCACTAAATGCGATTCCTTTACAAAAACTTTCTACTCTTCTTGCTGTCGTACCATCTCTAGATATACGGATATTGTCTCCATGGACGTTGTGAAAAAGTAATGGAGGTAGGTTATTGGTACCACTTGCGTTGGAGGTAGATCTTGATGCTAAAATAAAAAAAAAGAATTAGAATAAACATTAAGAACGAATTTGCAAAAGAAAATGTTAAATAGGATGAAAATAAACAACTAGTGATATCTAGTGCTAACTAGCATTGTTACTAGAACTAACATTAGACCTAGAACTAGAAATATTCGGGTTTAGCCGAACGTCTTTTAAGACGGCTAAACCCAAATGTTTCTAGTTGTAGGTCTAGTGTTAGTTCTAGTTTTACATTATCATTAGAACTAACACAACACCTAGAACTAGAATCATTCGGGTTTAGCCATCTTGAAAGACGTGGGGCTAAATCCGCATGTTTCTAGTTCTCGGTCTAGTGTTAGTTCTAGTATTGCACTAGCACTATCACTAGAACTAACACAAGACGTAGAACTAGAATCATTCGGGTTTAGCCGTCTTACGAGAAGTGCGGCTAAACCCGAATGATTCTAGTTCTACGTCTTGTGTTAGTTCTAGTGATAGTGCTAGTGCAATACTAGAACTAACACTAGACCGAGAACNTGCAAAATAATCGAATATGACAGTTAGAAAGTCAATAGGTAGCAAAAATTGAGGTTGACATGTCATTTAGAATGTCAATCTGCAAGAAAATTGTAAATTTAACCTTTAAGATGTCATTCAAATGACACTTTTGATATTAAAATCTTCTTGTAATGTAAAATGATCAAATTTGACAGTTAGAATGTCAATTGATAGCAGAAAATGAGCTAAATGTCATTTAGAATATCAAACTATCAATTTTATCTTTAAGCTATCATTTAGATGTCACTTTTGGCATTAAAATCTTCGTGAGATGCAAAATAATCGAATATGACAGTTAGAAAGTCAATAGGTAGCAAAAATTGAGGTTGACATGTCATTTAGAATGTCAATCTGCAAGAAAATTGTAAATTTAACCTTTAAGATGTCATTCAAATGACACTTTTGATATTAAAATCTTCTTGTAATGTAAAATGATCAAATTTGACAGTTAGAATGTCAATTGATAGCAGAAAATGAGCTAAATGTCATTTAGAATATCAAACTATCAATTTTATCTTTAAGCTATCATTTAGATGTCACTTTTGGCATTAAAATCTTCGTGAGATGCAAAATAATCGAATATGACAGTTAGAAAGTCAATAGGTAGCAAAAATTGAGGTTGACATGTCATTTAGAATGTCAATCTGCAAGAAAATTGTAAATTTAACCTTTAAGGTGTCATTCAAATGACACTTTTGATATTAAAATCTTCTTGTGATGTAAAATGATCAAATTTGACAGTTAGAATGTCAATTGGTTACAGAAAAGAAGGAATAGATGACATTTAGAATATCAAACTGTCAATTTTGTCTTTAAGCTATCATTTAGATGTTACTTTTGACCTTAAAATCTTCGTGTGATGCAAAATAATCAAATTTGACAGTTAGAACGTCAATTGATAGCAAAAATTGAGTTTGATCTATCATTAAGAATGTCAAATTGTAAGAAAATTGTAATTTAATCTTTAATATATCATTCAAATGTCAGTTTTGACGTAAACATTTTCTTGTGATGCAAAATGACCAAATTTGACAGTTACAATGTCAATTGGTAGCAAAAAATAAGCTAAATATATCATTTAGAATATCAAACTGTCAATTTTATCTTTAAGCTATCATTTAGATGTGACTTTTGGTATTGAAATCTTCGTGTAATGTAAAATAATCAAATTTGACAGTTATAACGTCAATTGGTAGCAAAAATTGAGGTTGACATATCATTTAGAATGTCAAACTGCAAGAAAATTGTAAATTTAGTCTGTAAGGTGTCATTCAAATGACAGTTTTGATATTAAAATCTTCTTATAATGTAAAATGATCAAATTTGACAGTTAGAATGTCAATTGGTAACAGAAAATAAGCTAAATATGTCATTTAGAATATCAAACTGTCAATTTTATCTTTAAGCTATCATTTAGATGTTACTTTTGGCATTAAAATCTTCGTGTGATGTAAAATAATCAAATTTGACAGTTAGAACGTCAATTGGTAGCAAAAATTGAGGTTGACCTGTCATTAAGAAAGTCAAATTGTAAGACAATTGTAATTTAATCTTTAATATGTCATTCAAATGTCAGTTTTGACGTAAACATTTTCTTGTGATACAAAATTATCAAATTTGACAGTTACAATGTCAATTGGTAGCAGAAAATAAGCTAAATATGTCATTTAAAATATCAAACTGTCGATTTTGTCTATAAGCTATCATTTAGATGTCACTTTTGTCATTAAAATCTTAGTGTGATGCAAAATAATCAAATTTGACGGTTAGAAAGTCAATTGGTAGCAAAAATTGAGGTTGACATGTCATTTAGAATGTCAATCTGCAAGACTATTGTAAATTTAATCTTTAAGATGTCATTCAAATGACACTTTTGATATTAAAATCTTCTTGTAATGTAAAATGATCAAATTTGACAGTAAGAATGTCAATTGGTAGCAAAAATCGACGTTGACATGTCATTTAGAATGTCAAACTGCAAGAAAATTGTAAATTTAATCTGTAAGGTGTCATTCAAATGACAGTTTTGATATTGAAATCTTCTTGTGATGTAAAATGATCAAATTTGACAGTTAGAATGTCAATTGGTAGCAGAAAATAAGCTAAATATGTCATTTAGAATATCAAACTGTCAATTTTGTCTTCAAGCTATCATTTAGATGTTACTTTTGGCATTAATATCTTCTGTAAAATGATCAAATTTGACAGTTAGAATGTCAATTGGTAGCAGAAAATAAGCTAAATATGTCATTTAGAATATCAAACTGTCAATTTTGTCTTCAAGCTATCATTTAGATGTTACTTTTGGCATTAATATCTTCGTGTGATGCAAAATAATCAAATTTTACAGTTAGAACGTCAATTGGTAGCAAAAATTGAGGTTGATCTGCCATTAAAAATGTCAAATTGTAAGAAAATTGTAATTTAATCTTTAATATGTCATTCAAATATCAGTTTTGACGTAAACATTTTCTTGTGATGCAAAATGATCAAATTTGACAGTTACAATGTCAACTGGTAGCAGAAAATAAGCTAACTATGTCATTTAGAATATCAAACTGCCAATTTTGTCTTTAAGCTATCATTTAGATGTCACTTTTGACCTTAAAATCTTCGCGTGATGCAAAATAATCAAATTTGACAGATAGAACGTCAATTAGTAGCAAAAATCGAGGTTAACATGTCATTTAGAATGTCAAACTGCAAGAAAATTGTAAATTTAATCTTTAAGATGTCATTCAAATTACACTTTTGATATTAAAATCTTCTTGTAATGTAAAATGATCAAATTTGACAGTAAGAATGTCAATTGGTAGCAGAAAATAAGCTAAATATGTCATTTAGAATATCAAACTGTCAATTTTATCTTTAAACTATTATTTAGATGTCACTTTTGGAATTAAAATCTTCGTGTGATGTAAAATAATCAAATTTGACAGTTAGAACGTCAATTTGTAGCAAAAATTGAGGTTGACCTGTCATTAAAAATGTCAAATTGTAAGAAAATTGTAATTTAATCTTTAATATGTTATTCAAATGTCAGTTTTGTCGTCAACATTTTCTTGTGATGCAAAATGATCAAATTTGACGGTTAGAATGTCAATTGGTAGTAAAAAATAAGCTAAATATGTCATTTAGAATATTAAACTGTCAATTTTATCTTTAAACTATCATTTAGATGTCACTTTTGACCTTAAAATCTTCGTGTGATGCAAAATAATCAAGTTTTACAGTTAGAACGTCAATTGGTACCAAGAATTAAGGTTGACCTGTCATTAAAAATGTCAAATTGTAATTTAATCTTTAATATGTCATTCAAATGTCAGTTTTGACGTAAACATTTTCTTGTGATGTAAAATGATCAAATTTGACAGTTAGAATGTCAATTGGTAGCAGAAAATAAGCTAAATATGTCATTTAGAATATCAAACTGTCAATTTTGTCTTTAAGCTATCATTTAGATGTTACTTTTGGCATTAAAATCTTCGTGTAATGTAAAATAATCAAATTTGACAGTTAGAACGTCAATTGGTAGCAAAACTTGAGGTTGATCTGCCATTAAGAATGTCAAATTGTAAGAAAATTGTAATTTAATCTTTAATATGTCATTCAAACGTCTGTTTTGACGTAAATATTTTCTTGTGATGCAAAATGATCAAATTTGACAGTTAGAATGTCAATTGGTAGCAGAAAATAAGCTAAACATGTCATTTAGAATATCAAACTGTCAATTTTATCTTTAAGCTATCATTTAGATGTCACTTTTGACCTTAAAATCTTCGTGTGATACAAAATAATCAAACTTTACAATTAGAACGTCAATTGGTACCAAAAATTGAGGTTGACCTGTCATTAAGAATGTCAAATTGTAAGAAAATTGTAATTTAATCATTAATATGACATTCAAATGTCAGTTTTGACGTAAACATTTTCTTGTGATGCAAAATGACCAAACTTGACAGTTACAATGTCAATTGGTAGCAGAAAATAAGCTAAATATGTCATTTAGAATATCAAACTGTCAATTTTATCTTTAAGCTATCATTTAGATGTTACTTTTGGCATTAAAATCTTGGTGTGATGCAAAATAATCAAATTTTACAGTTAGGACGTCAATTGGTAGCAAAAATTGAGGTTGACCTGTCATTAAGAATGTCAAATTGTAAGAAAATTGTAATTTAATCTTTAATATGTCATTCAAATGTCAGTTTTGACGAAAAAATTTTCTTGTGATGCATAATGATCAAATTTGACAGCTAGAATGTCAATTGGTAGCAGAAAATAAGCTAAATATGTCATTTAGAATATCAAACTGTCAATTTTGTCTTTAAGCTATCATTTAGATGTTACTTTTGGCATTAATATCTTCGTGTGATGCAAAATAATCAAATTTGACAGTTAGAAAGTCAATTGGTAGCGAAAATTGAGGTTGAGGTGTCATTTAGAATGCCAATCTGCAAGAAAA